TTTTAAATTATTAAAAATATGAGGAGCTGGAAATATGAGGAGCTGGAAAAAATATTGCTAACGTATTAATAAGTTTTTCATGTTTAAAAATTATTTTTATTTTATATAATAAAACATAGTAAACTGTTAGATTAAAGTATTGTTACAATTTTATCTTAAAAAATTCCAATAATATGATTATGTATAAGTGTATATTTATAGTAATTCATTCTCAAATAAATATTTCAAATAATGTTTAATGATTTATATATCATTCTTAATTTCATATAAATAATGTTATATCTTCTAAAACTATGATAATAATTTGATTTGACGTATGATAATGAATGACTATGATTTTTTTCTCTAAGACATATTTTTTCTTCTGTTATTTATGTTTTCTATAAAATTTTAGAAAGCATTTTATTCAATCAATTTCAAAATTTCCGATAAATATTTTAATGACAAATTCTTTGTAACATTTTAATATAAAAATGTCGAAGCTATAATAGTTTTCAAATGAGAAAAATTTGAAGAATAATAAGGTTATTACGAGATTATTGTGAAAATATTCAAGAATTTCATTAGAAACCTATTTCTGTATATCTCCGTTATGAATTATAACAACAGTTTAAAATATTTTTGTTCAATTAATATATCGATATTGATATGTCAGCTGTCATATTTAGCTGTCTTCACGATGAGGTTGGTCGATAAAAACGTTTTTGTTTCAATTTGAGAAATTTGTTTGAATTTGTCGATAAAAGAGCATACATTTCTCGATATTTATTCAATTCTAATACAAATCAAGTCATCGATATGTTTTTTTAAATTGTGATAAAATTTCTGGAGTTTAAAAAAGAAGAACCTTAATATAATAAAATCAAATAGAAATATTAGTAAAATTTAAAATAAAAATTTGAAACTGGCGTACTTCTTTAATAATTCAGACAATAAAAATAAAAATTCATAAAAAATTTTGTTATAAAGTCCTTTAAAATTATTTTATATATAGATTTTTATAAATTTTTTAAAAGTTATTTTACATAGAGATTTTTAATATTAGTAAGTTTTTCGATATAAACGTTAAAAGTGTTTTATTTATACTAATGTATAACAAGTTTCATGGAAGATGGATTGGACGCAATGGTCCGAAAATAATAAATTAGCCGAAGAAAACTAAAATTAATTTAAAATTAAATAAGAAACGTATGAAATTAATAAAATTAACAATATTATTACAAATATCACTTTGTGGCCAACACTCACCAGATGATCTAACAAAATACCTAAAATAATTAAGCAAACGTTAGTCCTCAACCATTAATTATCATAATTTTCTCACTCAAAAACAGTAGCAAAAATTAATAATATTAAGATGATACCTATTTATAAAAGATGTTCAACATGTCCATGACCACATTTGATACATAATTGTACACATTGTAACAAACTCGTCATTGCATTTGAAATTATTTGTGGCGTTACATTTGTTGCGAATATAATTTGCTTCAATAATTTTATTCTTTTACTTCTTGTACTCTCCACAAAAAAATCTGATGATTAAATCAGGTGATTGAGCCGTCCAAGTACAGAATGATGATGAGATGGAGATCCATCTTATTAATAGAACATTCGTTGTTGTATGTTTAAGGGTACATTTTCTAGCAACACATCTTCTGTCATAAATCATCATTTAAAAAATGATTGTATGTAAAACTATTAAGTATTGTCGGCATTTGGAAAGATCTAATCTAAATTAATATTAAAATTATTATTATTTCTACTGATAATAATAATTTCCACATTATGCAATGCATTATATAATAATTTAACTTACTACTAAATTTTGAAATAATCCTACCATAAATTTATATTAAATCGATGTTGATAACTTTGAATATTATTATCCTCTAAGAAAACCTTACAAAAGTAAAAAAAATACGCAAAGTACATAAAAAATATTCCACCTTGTATGCAACAAAGCACTTAATAAAAAAATATTCCTAAAAATAATTTATAAAAATTTTCTCTCAAAAAATATATATAATTTTCTTAAAAAAAATCAAAACTAAATATGAAATTAATAATTCATTATCAATAATTAATTAGCCAAGTACATTGAAGCAATTGATAAGGATTTTAAATTTGAAATATTTGTTATAAATTCAATCTTGCATTTATGTATTACAGATTCTTGAGAAATGAAGAATATTTTCAAAATTCTAATTCACATGTTTCTATAATTGAAATTTATTATTAGGTATATAATTCGCAAACTTTGTAAAATTATGTATATTTGTAAATTTGTAAAATTATGTGTATTATAATGTGACCTGAGCACGCCATGTTTTTGTAAGTCATTTTGGTCTTAATTTTCTTAATTCCGAATTTACTTGTGAAAGCTTGTGATTAATTCCAAAATTAAATATTTCTTAATAATAAAAATGTGTAAATTATAATATGACTCGGCTCAAATTTTTATATGTAAATTTTCTTAAATCTTTTATTTCCAGATCTACTTAAAATTAGTAAAACTTATAATCTTAAAAAGAGTCGAGTTTAGTTTTTCTCTTTTAAATTCAAAATTGGTGATTAATGCAATCGATGTTATTGCAATAAGTGTTAATTAGTTTTATGACTTACTATTTGTAATCTGCAATATAAAATCCGCAATATGTTAGTGCTATTTCATATATTATACAAATATTTATTTAGATCACACATAATAATATATTTTTATATATCATACAAAGTATTGAACTTATTTTGAAAATATTTTTCATTTCGAGAATATGTAATACATAAATGCAAAGATTGAATTTGTGACAAATATTTCAAATTACAAATCCCTATCAATTGCTTCAATGTACTTGGCTAATTAATTATTGATAATAATTATTAATTTCATATTTAGTTTTGATTTTTTTTTAGGAAAATTATATATATGTTTTGAGGGAAAATTTTTATAAATTATTTTTAGAGATATTTTTTTATTAAACGTTTTGTTGCATTTTGTTACAAGGTCGAATATTTTTTATGCACTTGTATTTTTTTTATCTTTGTAAGATTTTTTTAAAGAGATATTTTATTTTGTAATATTTTTTTAGGAAAATTCTTTGTTGAGGTTTTGTTTGTTAGAAAAGTGATTTTGTGAGGGAAAATTACTGTAAATTATTTTTAAGAATTTTTTTATCAAACATTTGGTTGCATACAAGGTAGAATATTTTTTATGTACTGTTGTATTCTTTTTACCTTTGTAAAATTTTTTTTAGAAAGTATCATATCATCATAATCGTTGTAGAAAACTTAACTAACGGCATAGGTTTTATATTTTTGTGACACACCGTTTCTGAAATCATATTAGATTTCACCCCCAAGGAATGCTTTTTCAGAATTGTCACTACTCTCTAAAAGTGAATCAGTGTATTATCACTGTAATCAGTGTTGTACTTATAACTGCTTGTAATCAGTGAGTATTTACTGTTTTTCAGTGATAATACGCTGATTCACTTTTAGAGAGTACGTTAATTTAGTTTTCCTATAAGTACGTTAATTTAGTCTTCCTATAAGTCTTATCGAACGGGACAGGTTTTATATTTTTGATATACCATTTCTAAAATAGATTTAGATTTTACTCCCAGGGATGGTTTTTAATTCTTATTATATCGTAAATTAGTTTTTGTAAGGAACCTTAATTATAACGGCGTCCTATTTTTGCGTAAGTCATATTTTTGCGACATCATTTTCGAGATATTGTTTTTCATCCTCAAGGAATGGTTTTTGAAATTTGCTTGTATAGGGAATGGTTATTGAAAATTGTTACTATACTTTAAATTACTTTCTTTTTAAATTTTATTTAATAGTAGAAGTTTCTTATTTTTACAGCTCCATTTCTAAGATATTAATTTCCACCCCGAAGGAGTAATTTTAAAAATTGTTACTGTACGATAAATTAATCTCTCACACGTACATGCACACATAATACATATCATACGTATGCACGCATATGATTTTGTCTTTTAAAGTATTGTACATATCGAAGCAATAATCGTATATGCACGCTGTGAACACTTGAGGGACAAACTCGCTTTGCGCGTGTGCGTGCAAGCATATGTACGTGAATCTGAACCTGAAGAAAAAGACGAAAAATGTCACGATTCTGATATTCAATCGTCATTTCTTTGGATTGACTGCATCGATTTTATTCAAACTGATCGTAATCAAAAGTTTATATTCATATGTAATAAAAATGTCGTTAGATTTTTGATTACGGCTTTAGTTTATTAAATATCTTAACCGAAAATTTACTTGACGTGAAATTCCGAATAAGGTACACTCCGCGACAACGATTCGTTCCCTCTCGCGGGGCAAGGGGAGCGTAGCCTCTGACCAATCAGCCACTGCCACGCTGCCAGCTGATTGGTTACTTCTACGCTCCTCTTGCTCCGCGAGAGAGGGGCCGAATCGTTGTTCCGCAGTGTACTTGGCAGCGTCGCGTCGAGGACAGTAACTTTCAATGTTCGGATCCTGTTTTTTATGTACCTGGCGTCGCGACGCTACTGTGTCGCTTGATATTTCCATTAAAGGTTACTCCAAATATATGTTTTATGTATATTGAATAAACTTTCGCGAATAAAGATTCTTCTGTAAATTATATTGTTTGCAAAAATCTAAGTTGTTTTCTTTCTTGTATCAATAACCGCGCACAAAAATTGACTTTATGTGTAATCTTCAGGTAATAAATTTTGAATTTTTGTAAAATGATATAATCTTTTCATCTATTGCCGATAGAACGGCTTATTTTTTTGCTCCTATTTTTTAAGTTTTACAATAATTAATTGTCTTATGTTTTCTCTCTGCGGATTTATATTTTAAGAAACATACAATATCAAATTTGTAATTGAAATGTAATCAAAGATCACTTCTTGCCGCGCAAGAATATGCTAGACATTTTTCTGAACGTAGACCTCCTAATCATAATGTATTTCTATGTTTAATAAACTGATTACGAAATACAGGAAATATGATGCCTATAAGAAAAATTATAGACGGTCGCGACCAACACGTTCATACTAACGAATTCGAAGATGCAGTTCTGTCGGTGCCATATATCAGTTCCATAAAATGGGCGATTCGATCACCTGATTTAACACCAGATTTTTTTATGGAGGCAAGAGGTAAAAAAATACACTTCTGAAAAAAGTCGAAAATAAGATGGAGTTAGAAGAAAAAATTATTAAAACAGATTATATTCGCCAATTATATTCGCAGCTGTAACGCAGCTGTAACAAACAATTTCGAATGCAATAATTAATAATAACAAATTTGACGTGCATGATTATGTATCGAATGTGACGGTGGACATATTAAACATCTTTTATAAATGGGTATCATCTTAATATTATTAATTTATGTTACTGTTTTTAAGTGAGGAAATTATTATATAAACGGTTTATGACTAATATTTGCTTAATTATTTTAGATATTTTGTTAGCATGGTGAGCGTTGACCGCAAAATATTTGTATTAATATTCCTAATTTTATTAATTTCATATGCTTCTTATTTAATTTTAAATTAATTTTAAGTTTTCTTCGACCGATTCATGAAAGCATCTTTACCACTGACTTTTGTTACTCCTAAGTGCGCAAAACTCTGGTCTTGTCATTCGTGGTATTTAAACTTCTCCCATTTGAAAACTATTATATAAGAATATACAGGGTGGGGAAAAAGTATGGAAGCAAACAATTATTTCCGAAACTATTCATTTTTCGACAAAATGTCTTAGACATAATTTTTATGGTATGAAAAGATGTATTATGTGGCATAGACGGCATGACCTTGAAATGACCCTTACGAGCTGCATACAAATAACGTAAAAAATTTCAAATGGAACTCGTCAGTTTTTGTTACAGATTCTTGTAGCTGATGTCGAAACGTTTACAAAACACTGCATATGAGCCCCATTCCCTTAAAAACACTCCCAGTTACGAAACAATTGTGATAATTCGTATCGACGAAATTGAAAATAGACAGATAGAAATAGAAATAGACTACTTTTTTAAGGATAAAATAAATGATAATAATAAATAAGGTAGCGATGATCAAGAAATCAAAAAAATTCTATGAATACTCATAGACAGTGTATCATATGACAACAGGTACAATTATATGTTATTAGTGGACGCAACTGAACGTCATGATGCGAAATCAGTAAGCAATGTCAATGTGCATACAAATTGTTTGTATCACAATTGTTTCGTAACTGGGAGTGTTTTTAAGGGAATGGGGCTCATATGCAGTGTTTTGTAAACGTTTCGACATCAGCTACAAGAATCTGTAACAAAAACTGACGAGTTCCATTTGAAATTTTTTACGTTATTTGTATGCAGCTCGTAAGGGTCATTTCAAGGTCATGCCGTCTATGCCACATAATACATCTTTTCATACCATAAAAATTATGTCTAAGACATTTTGTCGAAAAATGAATAGTTTCGGAAATAATTGTTTGCTTCCATACTTTTTCCCCACCCTGTATATATATACACACAGGTTACAGGTTATATAGTACCTTGACATATCGTTAAGAAAATTATATGTTTTAGAAAGTGTATTGATTATAACTTATTGTTAATATTTGTTGTTTAATCATTTTTGAGAATTTTCTATCTTTATTTTAGGTTTCCTTCTTCGAAGAAAGATTATGAAAATAATACAAAGAAACTAAGAAATATTTTTAATCATGCTGGAACTAGTATAGAGTGTACGAAAAGACTAGAGTATTATATATCTTTAATGCCTTATAATGATTTATGTGATATTAGAGAAGAATTTGTTCGTTTTCTCTCTTTCGTATCTAAACATTCTATGATATATTATTTTGTCCTGAAAGATATGAGAAGAATTATGTCTACGCCACGGTAGAATTTAATGAATTAAATTAACATAATAAATTAAAGTAATAAATTAACAGTAACATAATAAATTAAAATAAATATTGTACAAATTTTTTTCAGGTATAATTCTAATTTGACAATCAAATATAACTTTGTTCTAATTTTTCACTGGATAAGACAATATCGCTTGATATATGTGCAAAATAAATTTATAACTTTGCCGAAAGAAAAACTGCTTTTAGAAAAGCAAATTACTATTATAGTTCAATATTTTCTACCATATGTGTCTTATTCAGACATTGATATGTGGTTAAATGATATTACGCAAGAAATACTATACCGCATTAAAAATAAACATCCTACGCATTCTATATTCTCGATATCTTCTGAGAAATTTATTTTTTGGAGAAATAACAATATTGATGACAATTTCTGGAATCCAATAGAATCAAGGCAAATAATAAGTATCCTGGAAGAATATATATTTTCTGAATTAGAGTTTCAGAAATTATTTGAATTATTCCTAACATTAGATGTCGACTCAAAATATTATGTAAGTTAATTTATATTAAATTGTATAATACTTTGTTATGCGCTACGGAAGCATATCTACATGTTTTATATCTTATAAATATTCTATATGATTTTTCTAATAAAATGTGGTGATATAGATTTTTGAGTACTATCGAAGATGTATACTACCTATTATATATCACAGCATAGCCAGAAGACTTGGTATACGCTGCTTTTTGGATATGCAATTATCTGACAATTCTGCAAAATATATTCTGGAAATTCTATGGGATTCAAAATAGTTAGTACAACTTTAACTTGAGAGCTTATCTATCTGATATTTTATGTGTGTATGTGTGTGCGTGTGTTTTTATGTGTGCGTGTATGCGTGCGTGCATGCGTGCATGTGTGTGTGTATATGTTTGTATACATGTACATATGTATAATTATTTTTCTATTATTTTCAGTAATACGAAAAACCAACAGATAGAGCATATTTATATGAAAGAATCTAATCTACAATATCCTGCAAACATTCATAGAAGAATCGAATATCAATTCTCAGATGTCGATAATTTACAGAAACCATTACATGATATATCAGTAAGTAATTCTTTATATGTAATTCTTTAATTAATTTTTATAAAATATAGTTAATAAAAATGACATTTAATAAGTCTTATAAACAAATAAATTGATTAATTAGTCAATTTATCCTATAAGCGATAAATGATAGATAACTTCATTTTATTTTGAATTTGTAATTAAAACTTTTTTTCATATGCCTGTTTTTTTTAAATACAAAAGAAGATGATGGAAACTTTCGATCACAAACTATCAGATTTGGATAATCTGAAAAATCATTTTAATATAGTTTACTCTGGGAAACTCCATAAAATAAGGAGAATCTTATTACAAAGTTTATATACCGATGAATTAAATATTGAAAAACAAATGGATTATGAGTACTGTAATATTGCACGCTCCATAAAGGTAGTGTATTACACACCCACCCCACCCACACACACACACACACACAATATATATATATATATATATATATATATATATATATAAAATATACTTATATACTTTTATATATATATATATATATATATATATATATATATAATATATATATATAAATATATTTATAGGTATTGATTAAACATATATACAGAGTGTCCCATGACTAAAGGTCCATACTTTAAGGGCGTGTTACTGATGCCATTTAAAGTAAAAAAAGTCTAATAAACATATGTCCGTAAATGCTTCCTAACAAAAATACAACTATTGAAAATTGAATATTTAAAATAAGAAAGACATTTAAAAAAGAAAAGAAAGACATTTAATTTAATTTCTTCATTTACAAATTCTGTTCAAAATGACATCCTGCAGATTCGATACAAAGTCTTGCTCTGCGTAAAAAACTAACAGCTTGCTTCCACCATTCCAGGAGAATTTCTGATTTGTGTTGCCGCATCCATAATTTTGTTAATAAATTTATACGATACTAAACTAACTGAAAATGTAAACAAAATCAGACCGACAGAAAATGTAAACAATACCAGGCTGATAAAAATGTAAATATTAACAGACTAATAGAAAATGTTTCACATATTCAACTTTCAATGCTTGTATTTCTCTTGGGATGCATTGCGGACATACGTTTATTAGCCTTTTTTTACTATAAATGGCATCAGCAATACGCTCTTAAAGTATGGACCTTCAGTCATGAGACACTCTGTATATATATAGTACTGAACAAAATAAATCATACACCTTTCAACAAATTGAATTTGTTAGTATAACTATTCTTCTAACAAGCAAATAGATTATTAGATACAGGAAAGTCGAAGCATTTCAAAGTATTTAAATAAAAAAAAATATAAAATAATAAAAATTATGCTGAATTCTTTTGTAAAAAATTTATTATTCAATATTGTTACATTTTGTCCTGAACAAAATAAATCATACACTTTTAGAAGTAATAGTTAGCAAATAAATAAAGTTAATTCTAATTGTGATTAGTACTTAATATGGCCATCTTTGGCTTTTAATGCCGCTTCCAGTCGGCGAGGCATTTTTTCGACTAATTTCTTTAAGTATTCAGGATCAATTTCCTTCTGAGCCTTCTGGAGTGTTGCATAGGACGATGTCTTGTCACTTACGTTCGTTTTATTCACGTTCACGACCAAATAAGTCCACATAGTTTCAATTGGATTAAATCTGGTGATTGTGGCAGCCAGTCGACCAGTTTTACCTTATTAGATTTGAAAAATGCAGGTTTTCTTCGCCTTATTCTTCGCTTAGGGTCATTATCTTGCTGGAAGATAAAGTTGTTTCCTAAACCTAATTTCAAAAGAGATTCTTTTAAATTCTCGCACAATATATCAATATATCCTTTTGCCGTCATGATGCTTTCAATTCGAGCCAAATTTCCGATTCCAGACCATAAAGCATCCCCATACCATAATATTACCGCCTCCATTTTTTCCAAATGCTTCGACTTTCCTGTATCTAATAATCTATTTGCTTGTTAAAAGAATAGTTATATTAACAAATTTAATTTGTTGAAAGGTGTATAATTTATTTTGTCTAGTACTGTATATATATATATATATATATATATATATATATATATATATATACAGGGTGTCCTATTTTAAAAGACCCACTCAAATATTTCAGAAACACTGCGTTAAATCGAAAAATGTTTCAAACAAAAGTTGTGTAGCTTCAAGGGGGCCATAAGATGGTGACAATGATTTGAGCTTGGAAAATCATTTGAAGGTCATGTGACGGTCAACTTTAAAATCTTAAATGGAAACCTTTTTTTATTTGGTGTTCTTATAGTTGACATCGGGAGCTTTCCAAAACACTATAATTAAATGTTTTTCCATTAAATACTTTTCGAGTGATAAGGCTTGAAATAATATCTTTATTTTACATAAAATATCTAATAAAATATTCAATTTTCGATTATCTTACCTTAATACTTTTATGTACAAAATAATGAGAGGAATCAATTGGTGTAAAGAAAAAACATAGTTGTTTCGAAGAAAAAATATGTAATTGTTAATTGCAAATTACATATTTCTACTTCTATTTTTCATTGCATATTCTTATAACTTATCTCGAAAGTTTTCCATAACACTATAATAAAGTATCTTTTCATTGAGTATGTAGTAGGTTTCGAGTTATGAGACTTAATTTTTTAATTTTATACAAACTATAATATAAAATATCTCGTAAAATATCTCGTAAAATATTCATTTTTCGATTATCTTAATCTCAACACTTTTATGCTCAAAATAATAAAAAGAATCAATTGATATGGAAAATGCACAGTCGTTTTTAAGAAAAAATATGTAATTTGCAATTGATAGTTACATAAAAGTATTGAGATAAGATAATCGAACAATGAATATTTTACGAGATTTTTATAGTTTATGTAAAATTAAGAAGTTATTTTAAACCTCATTATTCGAAAAGAATTTAATGAAAAATACTTTATTATAATGTTTTGAAAAGCTCTCAAGATAAACTACATGAAAGTGTAATAGAAAATGGAGGTTTTTATTTAAAAAATTAAAAAGGACTTTTATGTGACTTTCAAACAGCTATTTAAGATCAAACCAATGGTATCATTTTATTTTGTCTTCCTTTGAGTCAAATAACTATTCTGAAACATTTTTTACTATAACGTGTACTTTCAGAGATAGTTTGTAACATTTTAAATGCTCCTCCCCCCTCCCCCCTCTGTACGCAGGGTGTTTCCACTAACTCTAACAGTTAGAATATTTCTGTTTCCTTTAACGATATGACAAAGGTTAAAGGACAATAATTGTTCTATTCAAAGAGTAATATTCTGATAAACAAAAATTTTTTTTACTGTTACCGTTTACGAAATTTTAAAATCATCGACATTTTTTTTAAACGGGGTGGCATATTTTCATTAACGCAGTAATGTAACTTATAAAAAAACATTCAACCATATAAGATATGTTGACCTTCAAATAACTTTGAAACACAAAATCACGTTTAGAAAAGGAAACTGTATTTATTTGTATATTTTAGCATAAAGATATCTATTTTTATATAGAAGATATTCAAAATGACTTCCATTAACTATTATACATTTTCAAATTCGAATACATTCAATGAGTTATTTCCTGATCACTGGATTGGATGTGGTGGAAGAATTTGTTGACCGGCTCGATCACCGAGCTTTACGCTTCTTGATTTTTTTCTGTGACGAACGCTAAAAAATGAAGTTTATCGCGATATCCTCACCATATCAGAGAGACATGCAAAAAAGAATTCGACATGCATGCACCGAAATCATCCCGGAATTACTCAAAAATATAAAAGAAGCATTTATTTATCGATTACAGTATTATCGGCAATAGTAAAAAAAATTTTTTTGTTCATCAGAATATTAGTCCCTTTGAATCGAACAATTTTTGTCCTTTGACCTTTATCGTATCGTCAAAGGAAACAGAAATATTCTAATTGTTAGAGTTAAAAGAAATGTGTGTGTGTGTGTTTGTGTGCGCGTGTATAAAAATAAAATTAATTATATAATTATCTATATAATTTAAAGTATTACAATAATTACTTTAGAAATTACTTGACAACATATTAGTTAAATTTTATTATTATATTTGTATATATACAGAATGGAACCAAAATCATGAGAAAAATACAACCAAACAGAAGATGTGAAAAAATTAAATTTACAATTGGTATGATCGTACATATTCGATGTTTAGCGAAACGGTTGGCTTTTTTGCTCAGCGAAATTAATTCTCATACTGGCGTGATAATTGGATGGCATTATAAATGCAACGCTTGGTTCGTAAAAAAAAAGTTGGATATTTTTGCGCCACATCTAAGCGAATGCTGCGATACAAAGAATGATAGTGACCACTTTTGTATATGTAGATGTCAAAAGAGCATTTATAATACATATATAAGAAATAACCCACATTATATAATTCTCGCCGAAAATAATATATTATATTATTTACCACAAGGTACAAAAATATTAGTATCAGTAACATTTTAAATTATATATCTTCTACGAGTATGAGTTTTCATCTACGCAATAAAATATATCTTTTTTTTATTTTAGATGTTCTATCAATATGTTCGCCTAGATGGATCGATAACGTTGAAATAGGACGTTATTTTTCTAAATTTGAAGATACTCATTACGTACCAAATGAAAGCCTGGCAAAAGAATATCCAACTGATATGGCTGCTTTTCATGAAATACTTCCCAGTATTCCTCAGCAGTGTGCATAATAAATTTTATAATTTGTATAACATATAAATATATTAAAATTATGCAGAAATAATATTTTAACTTTTCTTTACAAAGATTTTGTAGTATTCTAGACACTGTCAAGATTGTCAAGATTAAAAATACAATGTTAATTATATTATAAAAAGAAGTATATTCAGAATATATGTACATATATAGAATTGTCTGCCGAAATATATGAATATATATGAATAAATGCTAATAATCCATCATTAAGGAGGGAAACTACATTAGGAGGCTGATTTTTAAGCTTTTTTGTGAATTTTTTTGAGACGGAAAAAATAATGAGAATTTATTTAAACTTTGAGGTCATTTTATTCATGTTTTGAACTACATCTCAAATTTTTTTCAAGTCGTTTTTGACGGAAATGTCAAAGTTATAAGCTGCCGCCCATCGAAGGTCGTTGTCAGAGTTAATTGCTTGCGTGCAATGTGGAGGTCACAATTTTGATCTGAAAGCAAAACGAAGGTTTTCATACATTATTAACTTTTTTTCTTATTAGGTGAACCAGGTTTCAGCTAAAAACGTTGAAAATTGAATGTTTTACGAGAATTTGAAAAAAAATCTCAATTTTCACCGTTTTTTTCCGTTTTTTTTTCAAATAAAAAATACACTTTAAATTATGATATCATTCCAAAAGTTGGTTCGATAATTTTTTGAGCTAGAGTGCACGCAAATCGAAAAAAAGTCATTTCGAGAAAAATGCGTTTGAAAAAAAAATTACCGAAAACTAAAAATTCGAGACAGTAGTAAATATTATATAAAGTGCTTACCTTTTAATCTGCGATTCCAGCACCATATAGCAATCCTTCTTCTTCTTCACAATCACATTCTCACTGGTAGCACTCTGCAGTTTTTTTGCGCTAGCACTTTTATTTTCGATGAAACTTGTTCCTTTGTTAGAATGCTGATTTCCATGGAATGATCTCTTACGTGGTCTACTAACTCGATAAGTGCTAGAATGGTCACCTTTTGGATTGGAAGACATATTTCTCTTGTAACTTTCAACACACGCGTGGATGGCCAAAACTGACATTAACCAACGACGTTAACCTCTACCTCTTTGAAATATATTCAAAATAATGCCGATGCTTCTACACAAAGCCCTCTATAGTGAGCATTTACAAACAAAAACATCTGGAAAAATACCCTGCCTTCCCTTCTAATATCTCATAGTACATGTGTCATATTGAGCCAAGTAAGTAAGTAAGGGACTGCCTGAGCGACCGCTCCATTCTACCTGCTGTGCGCTCCAGCAGTAAACTGAGGGCTCCCTTTTATATTCATAGCATAGGAAGGACTTCGAATTTCATTTTGAAATTTTGGAAACATAATCTTGAATAGTTATACTAACGATTTATACAATAAAAGAAAAATCGATTTTGAACCGTCTAATGTGATTTCCCCCTTTAACAATTATTCAAACTCTTTTGTTGGTGAATTGGCTTGAGTTTCCACAACACAATAATTTCCAATTAAACTCTCATCATGTGCAACATATGACACAATTCCTTAAATTTTATGGTCCTTATGCTATATATCAAATTAAAAAATCAAAAAGAAAATGGCATAAGAGCCAACGCGCGGTAGTTGGAGTGCAGAGAAGCAACAATACTTCTTTCTTTTTTCAATATTAGATTATTAAAAAACACATTATAATAACAAAAAGCGAACGTTTCGGAACATCTTTTGATCTTTCTTCAGCGCGATGTTAACAATATATATTAACAATATATTAACAATATATATTACAGATAGTGACGCGTTACATTAAACGAATATATTAAGGTAAAAATAGCTAATCTATTAAAGATAGCTAGTATTATTACGTATATTTCCATGACTTGAAAAATTCTTGAGAAGCTTTGTGCTTTTCCGATCTCTCAGGAAATATAACGGTCAAAATAAGTAATAATATACATAATTAATAACAACAGAAATGCAGTTACTTGAGAAAAAAATTATTATTAATACAAAATAATATACAAATAAATCTATATAACAGTTGCTTTAGACTTACGGAATCAATCGTTTATAATATGTTCCTAAAATTATTTGAAGACAAAAATCCTAATGCCAAAATGTTGAGAAAGATAGTTATTTTAATACAAAGGATTAAAGATTTCCAATTGCATTGTGTTTTCCCGCTTTTAGAGACATAGAGCATCGAGGGATCCGCACAGCGGGATCTTTAAGCCTTTGTAGTGCCGACATTTTTTTTTACATTTTGATATTAGGATCGTTGTCTCCAAATGATCTTAGGACTCTGTCAAACCTATTAACGACTGATTTGATAAGTCTGAGGCACTCTGTGTAAATATAAATAATAATAAATATAAAATATAAATAATTTAATCTTACAAGGAAAGGGTCGGAAGTGTCCCCCTCCGATTTTAATGAGCTTTGAATATGTTGTAGTCTAGATCAAAATAGGAGACACGTATTTTTTTATAAGTGCTGAGTCGGCCGTTAAGGGGGTGAAACACCTTCTTGAAAAAAATCGATTTTTTCATTTCTCAGCGGATACCGTCGAAGCGATAAGAGATATAAACAAAAGTTTCAAATAAAAGTTTTATGGTCTTTAATGTACTTCAAAATCATGTAATCAGATTTGTCGAAAATGTCATATTTTTCGAAATCCCCCCCCCTCCCTTTTAATGTTTGAAAATTTTTAAATTTGTCTCATAACAAAACTTATAGCTCATTTAACGACAAATTCAATCATATATAATAAAGTTGTATTCCGAAGTCATTATATATATGTATATGGAAATATTACATAAAATACCGTACATAATTATTGCATACAAGAATAACAAATATTCATGGTTGATATCGGTTACAAAGATGATGATCATGAAAGAAATGATTTATACAAAGGGATTTTTTACACCATGAGCAAGAAATTACAGCAATTTCACCGCAAATATCACATGTTGGTTTTAAATTAGTTTTGAAACAAAAATCTACTGGTGTATCAAATTCTTCTGGTTTCTTTTCTAAATAACCACTTTTATACCATGCATATTTGAATAAATTTTTAAACCTTGGTGATGAAAATTGATTATGTGTTAATGATTGTAATTTTAAAATATTGTTTCTTGAATGAAGCTTGACGTCAAGATCTAAAAGCATGATGGTATCTGAAAAATGTCTAACAAAATTTTTCCATAAACGAAAACCGAATACATCTAAAGGTTGTATTTTTCCCGTTGCTCCAGCTGGTATAGTTAACAAATTAATATTGTCTATAAAATCTGGTTTGTTTCTTTGAATTATATCAGGACAATGACCAGTCCAAGAATCTAATAATAACACTGATTTTGGTCCAACATTTGGAAAAAACACTTCTTTTATCCAGATCTCAAAATGATGCGATGTTAATTTTCCAGATTTTGATGCCATGACAAAGATATTATTATCTTTAAACATTGTTTCTTTTACTATTGGACCAAATGTTCCAGTAGGTTCTTTTAAAACAATAAACAGAGGCGATAATAATCTACCATCAGCTGAAACAATAGGTTGTATAGTATAACTATGTGTAGTTGCTGATATGGATTGTACTATGCGCTCTACTTTTTTAATACCAATAGGTGATAGTGAACGACCGGAATGAAATTCTAATTGAAATCCACTTTGGTCCGAATTATATACATTTTCAATTCCATATTGTATAATAGAAGATTTAACATTTTCGATAAATGACTTGCTTCGTGCTTCTAAATCTTTGTCTGACGCTAAATTTTTTTTTGTTATAAATTTTGTAATTTTTCTAGATACGATATTATGTGCAAGCTTAAACCTTTTTACCCATGATAATGATGCTGTAAACCCAAGTAGATTTACTTCCTTCTGTGCGCGAAGAGCCCATCGAGCAATATCAATGTCATGAATAATTATTCCCTTTTCAATACCTTCATGGAATTTATTTAACGTATATGTTGAAATTTCTTTCAGTTTATCAAATCTGTTGCCACCTTGATTTACTTGCTGCTCCCATCTTCTTAATTGACGTAATGACGTGACTTTCCGAAATCTATTTCTTATAGATGCAAGAGCTCTTGACTTTTTTGTTCCACTTCTCCATAACTCTACTGCATTTCTTTTATATTCTATTGGTACAGAATCCGCAACACATTCAATTTCTTTTACAAAATATGTGTCTTCTTCTCTTTCTTCATCAATTACAGGTTCTACTTCAGGTATATCAAATTCGTTTTGAAAATCTAATGATGATTCTTCATAAACTTCAAACGCTTCTTCATACATTGATCGAAGCATATTTTCCATCATGTCTTTTGTTTCATTTTCATCTGTTGTAACAGGACTTTCTGGGAATTCCCCAGTCATATACAGTGCAGTGTATAGCAGTACTGCTACATTTCTTGGATTAAACATTATCTAAAAAAATTATTAACATTATGTATATTTGTTTTATAAATATTAGCAAAAAAATACTTATTAGCAACAAAAATATTTTATTATTTAATGCGTATTAATAATTTGTTACGTTTTCCGAGTTTCATGAAAAATAGAACAGTTTTATCACATAACTTAAATAAAGTAATAAAATATTAATTATAATTTAAATACATTAAAACAAAACAGATAAACCGCAATTTTGAATGAAGTGTAAGTAAAAGCAAAAAACTATAAAAGTTTTAAAAATCGAAAAAGTACATACATACTGTATTGTTGTGTGCGTGGGGCACAATTGTTTTTTCAGGATAACGGCTAGTCTTGTTAATTAACTCGAGCACTTGTTAATTATTTGATAACTGATTTGTGACTGTCCGCCGCTTCTAGGCGGTGGCTTTTAACGCCTCCGGTTCTGAACGATTATCGGAGGAGGATCGCGCGGTGGCATGACCAAATAAAATCATTGGTTATTTCTAAAGTGGCGTGATCAAAATGCAAGCGAAGGAAGTCCGAAGACTTCCTCGCATTTTATTGCAATTCAGCGCTATTTCGAGAGTG